TTTCTAGGACAACTACATAGAATTGAAGATTTTCGTGCTGGCAAACTGAACTACCACTCGACTTTGTGTTCAGACCAGAGGCTTGTGTAACACAATCCACCTGTTCCACATCAGCGCCTTCAATTCCGTTACTCTTAACACCAGCCAGATGCAGTAACTACTTATTTAAAAATCATTGTATGGGGAACGTATTTGTTGCAATACTACCTGCTGAAAATTCCAAAATGTATCACACATGTTGTTTACAATTCGACGACTATTATAATGACAGTGAATTGTTTATTTGTGAATTTACGGTCACCACTGATCACCCTAGTTGCACGACAAGCTAATTCACGGAGTTACGCTATCATTTAAACAAATTACTGCAAGTTGTTCACAGACGAGAAACTCCTGAATCAGATGACATGTTTCTTAAACAAATCAAGCTTTGCATGTAGGTGATTACTTCCACATACTGTGAAGTTGCATGCATATTGCAAAACTTTGAGAAAAATGCAGCCGAATTCTGCCGGAAGGGCAGATTTTCATAGGATGAGGTCTTATTGGTTTGCCTCAAGGTTTGCTGGGGTGGCCTACTGATTTACTCATTTATCTGTCCACTTGTTGGAGCACAGTGAAAGTAAAAGTAATAAGCGTGCTTTTGCACTTCACAAACACTATCTCATTGTTTTAAGATGCATACTTACCGTGTTATGAATGAATATTTTGCGCATTTCCACTCCTCTCTAAGCGTGTACGTCTGTTATTTGTTTGTACCTGTTACCGTTTATTGATGTGCAAGATACTAAGTACACTTTGAAGCCTTAGGTGGAAGGAAACTGGTGTTATTCGTGAAGGATAACGTTTCTAAATCACTCTATTTGATTAATGCTCCGAATTACAGAAAACAGGCTGTGTTCAGCTTTTACCAAAGGTCATGTCGTATTTGGCAGGAAATATAGTTGTGAGCAAATCCAAAAGAGATATTCACACGTGTAACCGAAAAGTCATGACGATAATGAGAGTAATTATGGTACGGCATGCATCCCATATTACGTTCGCAATGTATGCTACATGTGCACTTGATTTTCGTAACTCACTCGGAATTCGGTTTATTTGTGTTGCGATATCCTTTACAATTTGAAAGATAATAATTGTGTCCATTATATTTTTTTAAGCAAAATTTGTCATCTTTCCCAATAAAACAACCTGTTGCATAAATAAAAACAGGTCAAAACCAATAACTTATAATGAGACATAAAGCCGAGCTCTCGAAAACAGACCTTTTTAGCGAAACTTCGAAAACAGGTGCTACATGATACGCCTTGAAAAGTAGTGAAGCAGATGTATTATACGTCAATTCAGATTCCTTTCCATACACCATAGAGGCTCCGAAAGGGAAGTGAAACCTAGGGAGGACTAGAATAGCACTGCTGGTAATAGGACTATTTCAAGTTATTTTTAATAGACGCTTGAGAAATATTTGCCACTGGCTTATTAACTTTATTTCCTAAACACTCTAACAAGGTCAAATGTATAGTGGATTACTTGGCAACTGAGGCAGCGAGATAAGTGACATCGTTTCAACAAGCCATAGAATACAACGTGCCTGACAGATTACACTTTGAAGCCGCTAGAAGTATGATACTAAGACCTCTGCCATGGCAAGTGTACCATGTGCTTATGAACGCTTATACTGAAAGGCTTCACAACATAATTGTCCAGTACTTTTAAAGTTCTTAACACTGGCCTTAAAAAATTAAAAGGCTGAAGAATAGCACGAGAGTTAACTGTTGCTGTGAAGAAATTACTGGTATGCACGATGGGACACCACGTCGTGGTAGGAAACATTTTAACAACAAATAAGCCTTACATTTGCAATTTCAGAGGCAACGAGATGCGCGAAATAAAACCTTCCTTCGTAGACCTTGATAAAAGACGTTCAGTCAACATTGCAGAACTACAGAATCATACTCCTAGGGCTCCGGACAAAATATCGTCAACGCAATCTCTGGAAATGAACATAAAATCAGAACGCCAGCGGTCTTAACCCTTGCATTTGAATTCAATAAGATTATATATATATATATATATATATATATATATATATATATATATATATATATATATATATATATATATATATATATATATATATATATTAGTGAATTTTGTAATTAGTGGGCTTCATGCGCGAGCGTGACCAAAAACCATACCGCGAACACCAATCTTATGGCTTATACGTCTGGTGATACTCCACCTACTAGAGACGGGTGTTAGGCTGTTACATTACGCTCCGCTGAACAAATACTACTACTAATATTTATTCCTGAATACACAAACACATACCACTTTAAAAGTTATGGGTAAATTTCTACGTGAATTACATTTCCTCAAGGCAGTCAATCTTAATCCCCACGAATTCGGTCACTAGAGTATATAAGTGTCGTATGTAAATCAAATGAAGTATCTCAGCAGAATAAATTTGCAAAAAATTGATACGTGGAACTACTACCCTCGCATTACCAAAATAAACGAGTGTTTGTATTTTAAAATCGCATGTATGCCCCAGAGAACAACATGGCTTGCAGATAGTACTTACATTTTTACACCTTGAACCCTTTTAAGAACAGTGATGAGAACTTTATGGAGTAATTTTGATAAACTGTGGTTTATTGTTCTGCAGTGATTGCAACTATGGAGTTCGTGTATTCTCGTGCCGTTTAAATCATAGACTCATTATTTTGTTGAATAGCACGGCTGCGGTGCAGATATCGGTAGTTTTCTATTCCAGAGTGGAAAATTAATAGGTTTGACTGAATGGACTAATACACGTCTGGAATACCTTGTCAACTCTCTTGAAGGCCATGACAACCTTGTTGTTTGAACGTGTCCCAACTAACAACGGACTGGATAGTTTGCATCTTTAATAGAAGACTGAGGTAGGGCAATCGCAAATCGAGGATAACATAAGTGGTCTAAGCATAGGAACAGCAGCAGACAAACTGGCAATACAGATATTTAAGGACTGTGGTAGGAAGTAATTGGTCTTATTCATTGAAGTGTTAGCTGTGGCATGAAAATCCGATGTCATCACCTTTGGCTACACAAGAAGCTTGATGCCATCTCGTACACCGTAGAGACAGCTGTAAACTACACAGCAGACTCAAAAAGAGTTTACCAACACCCTACATATCTCAGCAGCGCATTTTTGAATGCTGGATGCGTGCGCATGCCTGTCACTACTGCTGGTCCCAGGCCTTAATCATGAGCATAAGCAACTTAAATACAGGCTAACGAGTGGTCTCAGTTGTCATAACCAATAGTAGGCACTGTAAGCTAAAAGCTGGCTTCTCGAAAACCTGCACACACGTGAAAGCCTATGACGAGATGTATGCTCAGCTTGCACGTCAAATGGCCTCTGTCAAGAATGCCGACTACATCCGTTTTTATTTAGTTTCGATATAAACGTGCTCCTCGCTAGATCTAAAGTACACAAATAACATAGTCCTGTTAGGCAAATACCCTGACAAGATTCAGAATCTTCCGGACACTCCGAATGGCTATTTCAGAATGTTTGGGATGCGCTTCTCACCGTCCGAATGCAAATTGTTGCTCCGGGACTGGTTCCCACTGGTGTCTTGTTTAACAATAGGAAGTGAAGTGGTTGAGTCCATTGACCATCTATCTCACTTACTTTGGAAGCTGGATAGAACCTGATGGGTCAGTGACCGACGAAATACCAGCACGGATACAATGGACTTGATTGGCTTTCTCCAACTTACGCCGTTTGTCACTCTACAGTGATATCTCATCACTTCCTATTCTGTGTTGTGATTGTTTTATAATGACTATTTCGACGACTTTTCTAAACAAGACGTTTTTCACTCACTAAAACTGTCGAAGTTAGGGTAATTATTTGAATATGTTTTTTAGCCGTCGAACACTGGTTGCCACCTGTATGACTATCGTATCTATCGAATGCACTTGATTCCAGAGGTCGTTTAGTTAATCACAAAGGTCACCTTTCACCAACTTCGGACTGATGATTTTTGGTGAAGGTGACTTAGTTACTTTTTTTATCCTCCAACCTAGCAGCATACACATCACTGCCAATGAATATTAAGTCGCCTATAGTATATTTGCCCATCAAAATTGGAGGGTGTTGGCACAAATTATCCTTATAAGCATATACGAAACATACTGAGCTAAAATATGGTAAACTTGATGCACTTACTAGAATCTCGTATTTGAGTTTCTGAGATAAACACATTACTAACCAGGATTTTCAGAGTCCTAAGTAAACCTATATGTTATCCAAAATGTATCAACTCCTAAGTCTTGTTCTTATTATAATTATTTAAGTACTTCGACCGCATTTATCATCTTGTGGGTTTTTACGACGTAATTATATTATTTCCGTTACTTTTACATTGATGTGTTAATCAGAAGAATGGTAACTCGATCAAAGACACATCACTACCTATCAGCGACTAAGTGTAATGCGCCGCATCACAGGACTGGTTTTCACTGGTTTCTAGTCCAACAGTAGGGAGTGAAGCGGTTAACTGCATTGGTTACTCGAAATATGACGTCTCATAGATCCAATTCATGCTCCTTCAAGAGCTTTGAATAAACGGGCAGTCCTGCTTACTGGTAAATCTAAGGTATGGTAACTTGCGCCGCTGCATTGTTGATAAGGATTCGCTTTGTATGGACACCCTGTAAAAATGATGTGTATTGGGCGTTGCTGATAAGGATGGATATAAGTAGTATGTTGGGAGGGCGGCAGAAATCATAGGGAATTACCAGCAATAGGTCAGAATTCTGCCCAGAGGATGGAAAGTGACAACGTGGACCTATGAAGAGCAAATCAAGAGAAAAGCAGGAGAGGAAATTAAGCACATTTTGCAAATGACTAACCTAGTGCAAGGTGTACCATATTTAACGACTAGTGTACCACACGTTAGAAATAAGGATTTTCTTCCTTCGTCTCTGTCCTCCCGATTTTCACAGAAGCAACTACAAAAATATGGCAGCAAAGATTTTAAACTCCTTCACGAAACTAGATGGATATCTCACCGGTGAACACTTGGTGCAAAAATGCAAGTACTCAAGGTTTAATTGAAGTAAATTGTAGTGTAACCGTTAAATGATGCCATAATGCGCCGCATTGTACTTAACATAAACTACTATAAGGTTTATTCGACACAAGCCGATTCCTATTTATAAAAACATATTTTCATCCAAAATGTACCCCGATCACCAAAAAAATGTATACAGTACACTGGTCAGAACTCACAATAAAGAAATAAAGTGTGTAGCAAAACTGAGAACAAAAAATCAAACAGAAATTTCACAGTACTTTATGCAGAGATTGACAGACAAAATAGGCAACGATTTAAGGAAACGCTTGAGGAAAATAGGCAGATGCAAGTGACTGTTGTTGACAATTTTCATCATTTGTACAAGTAACTGGACTTGGATATTGACATGCATTTCCACTATCAAACATTTCTTGTACTTTGTCATTACAGTTAATCGGTTGTGTAGCAGGTCCATTTGCAGGTTTAAGTGGGACAGAGATTGGAAAGGAATCTACAAATTAAAATTCACACAGGAAGATTGATAAGTCAGTAAAATATTAACTATATTGTTGAGTAGATTATTGGAGGAAATTCGCAAAACTTGAGCAGTATGATACTTTCTTAAACGCGCTTAACATATTATTCCCCATAGAGGCCTACACAGTATTTAGTGTATCTAAACGTTTTCTCTTATCATAAAGAGCAAAGCATGGAAATGGTTAGTTAACGTTGTTTGCTCTTTTTAAAAACCCGGCATAACAACTAGAGACTTATACATTTTTCATCCAGAAGTTGATAAGGACATATGAAGTGTCTATCTAAAAAGTAAAATATAGAAAATTCAAAATCGAGAGATATACTCAAAGACTGACTGGTAGATGTTTGTTCATCGAATAACAGAATATATATGTGATACATGAGGCTTAGGTAATACGACTGAAGTCAGTGAAGCCATATTCCTCATTGCTTGATTCCGCTACTTAATGCACTACAAACACAAAAATCCCTACAGAACCTCTAACAGAATGGCATCAGTCCAAACTACCAGAATTTAAAGAAGAATGTGTGAGCAAAAGAGTGACACTGAAATGAGCCGTTTTAGCAGGTGATTGCCGTTATCCCCTTGTGCCTCTGTGATGCCGAAAGTGCGTTTCTGGCTGACCCACCTGTGATGTGGAACCACCTGCAACGACACGAATATTTGTAAAGGGGATGCTAAATATGCAACTGGTAAACCTACCGAACAAATCACCATTTTCTTTGGGGTTCCTATAATTCAAAGTGTTTGTTGTACAATGCAATCCAGGTATTTCAGATGAAGGATTCTAAAATATAATAAGAGTGATAGAAATTAGACAAACCAATAGATATTATCTCGATGTAAAAAGTTACATTGACCAGTGGTTAATACATTAGAATGATTGGTTAGGTGGTGAAATTTTTATCACCACCTTGCATAGCAACAACAAAGAAGTGTGCTATTGAGAAAGATTCATTCAAAAAAACAAAATATCTGGTCACTTGTTTCCACGCTGCATGTGACTGTAATTAATACTTTAGCACAAAATAGTTGTCATCTTAAATCCGAACAAAAAACAGTTGGAAAATAATACATATTTTTCACTGACAGTGAAACTGCTCACCTTTCTTATGTCTTGATGTGTAAAACTAAATGCTTTTAGACAAGTAACCGTTGGCTGAAAAACAAGCAAGATGTCGATAAAACACTGGGAAATATTTATTAAGTATATGATTGCGATGGAACTTGATAAAACAGATAAAATTAAAAATGGAAAGATATTAGTTAAATATGCTGTGGATGGTTTCGGCAAAAAGAGGCATATTTTGAAGACAACCCGAGTAAAGGGTTAAAGAACTGCATGAGTTTCCGGTATTTATCAGTTTCATATCAGAGATACCTACGAATACACACAAATTTTGATTATGTACACTGAATAGTTACTCACTTTATAATCCGTTCGAGAGACAAGATTCTTGAAATGTGGATACAAATTTGAATTGGTGGTAAGTATCGAAAGTTTTTTACCAAGTGGTGACAGAGTATTAGTGCTTGGTGTTGTAAATACCACAGTGGAAGATGTGCATACACTTGATGAAGCAGCCAAGTGCGCAGTTTTTTGAACAGGGCATTACAGGTATTTGTGATAGGAGGGTACTTTTACGTGGTGGAGACTTTTCATTTCGTGAATCACCAGTACATTTGTCGAAGTGAGAGGTGGAGAGTTAGTTAAACTGTTTGATTCATTTGTGACTGGAGGTATTGATAACTTCAAACGATTCTGCACGTAACCCAAATCATTTTCGGCAATCTGACGATTCAACCAAGCAATAACTTTGGGATGTATAACAAAATGAGAGCAAAGTAAGTTAAGAGTTATGAAGAATTCACTACTACATAACCTGAAAATACTTGATAGAAATAGGTACACCGTAAAAATTAAATCCTATGATATGAAGAAAAGTGAAACAATATCCAATGACCTGTCTTTTTGGTACCGTTTGGGTATGAGGGACGCTGTTATTACTTGATGCATTTGATAGACAAGGCAGTATCTCTGATATTACAGCATATTCCCAAATGGTGCACAAACCTGGAAAAATTTGTACGATTGGTTTTTTCAGCATTTACATTTTGCCTCCAGACATAATTAAACAATCAAGTATTCATACGAAAAAATTTGCTACACTCGACATGAGGGACAATCGAAAAAGTGGAACGTTCGTAGACAGCGCTCACATGTTAACATACTTTACCTGAGTTTTTGATTGCTGACATCACTAACATATCTAAAGCAAACTGGTGAAGACAGAAGAACAGAAATGAGACACGACTATTCGAGATTAGTTGGTTTGGAAAACTGATCGTAATATGAGTATATGCAGAATGAAGTTGAAACAGTGGAATTATTGTGACAACACATAAACAGGGATATAAAGAAGGAAATGGAAGTCGATGCCAAACAGAAAGCAGTTAACTTGATGTGATTATAGTTAGCCTCGCATATCACAGTAACCCAAATAAACACGCCGGCTGAAACAATTGTTATTTGAGTCCAAACCAATTGAGACTGATCACTGAACTCATCACACAAAGAGAACCTGCCGTTACAATATAAGTAGTTAAACAATGATAGGGATTGGAACAGAGACACAGAAGGATGGCAAAAACGTACGACACCACATAGAATTGCAGTGGTTCAACATTCCACATCTTACAGCAGTATGCCTAGCAAAAAATGTATCAGCGTAAGCTTAGGTGCGTCGAATAGGAAAGAATCTGGGAGTAAAGGTTGATGAGAATATCCAAACATTAGAAGACGCAAAAAGGTGAATACATCTCCGCTAAATCTGTGACAGATTCTTAATTACGTTACCACGGTTCTCTAAACACTGATTCCAATTATCTGGAGGCCCTCAATCAAGCAGTGAACACCTCCATCCACGGCTCAGACCAACAGCCAGACTCCGCGGACTGGTGCCACATTTTCGTCTGACCATACTGACAACTCAGGAGTACTTCAGCTAGATTGTGCGTCGAGGCAGGGGATCACTCGCTAGTGCAACACATGTCAAAGACACCTCACTCGGTGAACCTTCACAACTCCATCGATTGACTTGTCTACTATCCCTCACCTCAACACTGATTAAATAGTGATTCTCAAGTGAGCGAAATTGTAAAGACATCGTTGGTCTAAAACTTGTACACCCTTACATCATTCACACCGACAAGTCTAACAACCGTATCATACGACAGAATAGATTGCGGAGTAGTATACCAATAAATGAATCGGTAATTAAATGTCTCGCCAGAGGTTATATAAGTTGGCAAGTGTCAAACAAACCCACCGTATTCGAGCTGAGATCTTGTCAGTAACACAACCGTTTGGGTCAATAAACCTCCGAATGTCGACCAGCTGTTTAGCAAGACGGACCAAACCGTCATTTTCTCACAAAGAACTCTTTAATTGACCTGGAGTACGCGTAACCCAGAGTCATATTAACTGAAGATCCAGTAATTTGGACACCTTGAATGACAATTTAAAAACGATTGGGATGCATTTCTTAATAACCGTATGGAAATTTCGTTCCAGAACTCATCAACACTGGTGTCTATTCCGGAAAAAAAAAACTAAGTTATGATCGATTATTAGTATATTTTCTAACACATGACATTCGACTCCGTCGATCCATAGGCCTTACGACAGTCTCTCACTGAAAGAAATGCCAAGGGGGCACATCACTTTGTTGAATACCGTATTCTCGAAAACCTGCACACACGTGAAAGCCTATGACGAGATGTATGCTCAGCTTGCACGTCAAATGGCCTCTGTCAAGAATGCCGACTACATCCGTTTTTATTAGTTTCGATATAAACGTGCTCCTCGCTAGATCTAAAGTACACAAATAACATAGTCCTGTTAGGCAAATACCCTGACAAGATTCAGAATCTTCCGGACACTCCGAATGGCTATTTCAGAATGTTTGGGATGCGCTTCTCACCGTCCGAATGCAAATTGTTGCTCCGGACTGGTTCCCACTGGTGTCTTGTTTAACAATAGGAAGTGAAGTGGTTGAGTCCATTGACCATCTATCTCACTTACTTTGGAAGCTGGATAGAACCTGATGGTCAGTGACCGACGAAATACCAGCACGGATACAATGGACTTGATTGGCTTTCTCCAACTTACGCCGTTTATCACGCCACAGTGATGTCCGACTGCCTATCAAAGACTAAGTGTACTGCCCTGCAGTTCTAATATACAGTTGTCAAACATGGCGACTTAAGGTAGAGAGCAAGAAAAAGCTTCATGATTTTGATCATCGTTGCGTTCTAAGGAAAGGGTGTATCGCGGGGGGCAGCACTTCATCGTCGTAGAAAAGATAGGTCAGTTAATAAGATGGCATGGCTCAGAATCGATCTCAATGGGTTATTGATACATTGTCTTCATCTTATTGGTGAAGTCAAATTCCATTATTGTTTCAATGCGCCTGCCTCTTTCTATAATTTTCAACGCTTGTGGTCACGTTTTTCCAGATTTTCTTATCTTTTATGTGTAGGTTTACTGCCTTGTATAACCGATATGCAGTGCTGTAACTTAGACTGTTACACAGTAACACCACGTTTCCCTTTGATCCTCACTGATCGACTGTACGTGGCAATTCAAACTTCACGGTCTATATCATATGAGACAATATTCATGTGTTCTGAAGAGCATATGAAACCACAGTAATTTGTAATACCAGACTGAGAGTGTTAGGCACTTGCAGAACGCTAACCCCAAAGTTCACCAATTTCCAGAACAGGTGAAAAAGGGCATTTACAACCTAAATATGTGGTTTGACTACGCACCACTCCGGGCACACTATGATGGTCTAATGAGCTCAACTTCATTTCAAAGTCTGGCAAAAGGTATAGAAGAAAATTATTATCATACAATAATGACGATACCTGCTAAAAGTCAGTCAGACACTCCTAAGCATACTTAATCGATTGGGTTTCTTTTCGGTGTTTTGAATATCGTATCTGAAAAGATCCAAAATGTTACATTTAAGATATCCGAATTTTCTTAGTACGACAGAAACAGGACAGTTGGTTTTATGAGAATGTTTCACTATTATCATAGATAAATAACATAATGCAGATCTACTGTTTCAGCAATGACTTTCTCTCGCATAAAGAAAACAAAGCATTACAGCTTTCCAAAGGCTTTACCGCATAGCTGTATATCAGACGTAAAATCGTAATAGAATAAAGTTACGGAAATTAAGATCGAATAGTGATATAAGTAGGCTACTAACATATACGAAAGTGATCAAACCACGGGCTGGATACTGTAAGTATACATATAAGTGACAAATAGTATTCAAAATTGCTAATGCAACATACTTGTTTCGTTTGATTTAATGGTTTTTTGAGCATCCATCAAGCTTTGCATAGCCTGTCTGTGCTCTTCAGTAATATGAGCATTGCATCTAGTGACACTCACGAGTTCTGACTTCAGACTATTCAATTCTGCATTTAACCTCTGGATTTCAGAGTCTTTAGTTATAAGCAAACGTTCCTGTTCCGCTGCTACTTGACCACGTAATTTAGCCTATAAAAATAAGTTATGGTTTTTGACAATCAATTTCGACAATGATAACAAAACGAATAGCTGATTCGGAAATGAGTGTTACTGAATTCAAATAAGACAAACATGGTAAGCAATCATATAATCATCAAGAAAGGCTGTGACAAACCCTATGAGCTCTGCCGTCACACAAATCTTCTTCCTTCAAGTACCTTAGGAAGAAATAGCCTACCACGGTGGGGGAAGCCAAGAAGTGTCAACTGCCTCCACGCTTCCAGTAGTACACACAAGACCCAATCATACATAACTTATCCTCCTCAACTCTGTCTCCTTCTTTGCCTTCGTCTCCTGATACTAGTATTAAACCTCTTACGCCTTACCCAACCTCTCATTCTACAACCACTGTCAACGATCAAAGCCATCGAAACCTTATTCCTCTTCTCCTAAGACCCCACAAGTGATTTTGTGTAGGAGTTTTCAACGTCCCAACTCTATGACAAATCGGACAACGAACATCGCTCGCCAGAACTCTGGAATCTCTAGCCATGACCTCACCTGGCCATAGGAGTGAATCTTCAAAACTAACTTGTTTCTGGTCAACACCAACTTTAAGCATAAGGAGAGACACTGTCTCACATGACGTCCGCTGACACCAAACCAACGATGGATAGTGATAGATCACATTGCTATAAACCATCGTTGAAGAGGATCAGTTGAGGATTGTCGCTGATCCTGGAGAACCAGTGTAACCTCCGACTACACGCTAGCACGAGTTCCTGTATGTCTACATCTTACTGATCGCAGCAAAAAGGCGGCAGTGAAGCCTGTCTATGGTCGGTTCGAAGATGAAAATGTCAAGTCTGCATTTAGAGAAGAGGTAGCCAAGCATTTCGCTGAACATGACACCAATGCTCATTCCAAGAAAACCTGGCATGATATGGAGTCTGCTGTAGAAACAGCGGTAAGGACAATTAGTAACCTACATCTGAACGTTAACAAACGTCAAAGGATATCTGAGACATCATCCGAACTGATTGATACGAGAAGACTGGTTCCAGCTGGCTCCGACCATGACGAAGAGTGGAAGCAACTTAAACGTAAGTTGACCAAGAGTCTTCACGTCGATCGCGAGGAGTGGTGGATGGCGAAAGCAAGAGATCGAGAAGGCATCTACGGAAGGCAATACTTGGCAATTATTAGGGCCTATTACAGATATCGGCTAGGAAAAAACGATGACGACTGAAACCATCAGCGAAAGAGGTGGAACGCTGATAACCTCCAAGGATAGGTGGCTAAAACATTTGACAGAACAGAACACATCGCAGCACAGCCCAACCGGCCCTTAGAAACGCTTCAGTTGCCCAACAGCCAGCCTGAACCTGAATAGGACATAAATGTCGGTCCTCCAACTCTCCTTGAAATTGAGAAGGCCGTATCGAACGTGGAACAGTGCAAAATGCACTCAGCCACCTTGTGCAGATTCACGCAGTGAGCAATGAGCTACACCTATCATGTGTGAGTTAATGGTACTACCTGGCTTCCTGTACCTTGAGAGATGGAGTGGTGTTCGAACCCATGATTTACTGGTTGGAAATCATCTCCCTAAACCAATGAGCCACAGCTTTACGCTCAGTTATTACTCATTCATTTTAACAGTTGTCGTATTTTTGGCTAACAAAGATTACGTTAAATATCTAATGCACTGAACATGTGTACGATAGAAAATTGAATACAACAGTAACTATTACGCCTCAGAAACGAGGCCTTTGAAAAGTTTCTTCTCTGATTTTTTTCCATACATATCTTGATGTGAAATCATAAGAGAATGAGCCGGTCAAACTTTGTGATAAGTGTTCTACTTAGACCTGGTTCCCAGACTTTAACAAGGGTCCATAGTTGTCACTAAGTAAGAAGGTAATTGACTAACTGAGTGGATTACAACTCTAACTGTCAAAAAATTTGGTAAATTGAAATGACGTACAATGACAACAGATTAACAAGTCATTCAATGATAACCTTTTGAATGTTCGTGTAGGAAGCTATGAGAAAAGATAACAAAGGTTAACGCTGTTGAATTCACTTATATGTTTGCGATATTTTAATTTTGACTATTCCATTGAAGAAGTTAGGAGACCGGACTCCCATGCGAAACCTAAGATTATTTCATTTTAAACAAGCTATGTATTTTATCTAATGTCAACTTTTCCTTGGTGCCAATATATTTTTCAATTACTTCTTCATCAATGGCTTTACGCTAATGTACATAGCATTTTCAAAACGTAAAATTACATACTAATCTAGTGGTGAGAGTTGTTTAATTTTACGATTCGAAAATGCTATATATTAGTGTAGTCATTGATGAGGAACTAATCGAGAAGTATTTCCTCACTCACACTGTTTTACTAAATGTCTAAATGGGAATTTTTGCACATATATAATTCTTACTTTCACTTGATAACTTTTCACGTCAGTCTGTAAACGTTTAATAATTTCATTAGACTTGTTAATCTCTTCCAAGTTCGAAGATAACATCTTCTCCAAATTTTGTACGTTGTGACATTGATGCTCCAATTGCTCAAGAGTGTGGGACTAGGAAAAATATTATAAGGAAATATAAAGTCAGAATGCAGCATTGAAAACATATTTTCTTCGACATTTTCCTTTCATAAAAATAAAATGAGAGAAGCGGATGAAAAATTCAATGGATTATACGGATACATTTGTGCATATATGAATGAAAATGTTTAAAAACTTACCCAATGATAAGTTAGATAGTCGTTATTAACATGAAGTTTACAATTGATGTGTCTTTGATCGAGTTACCATTCTTCTGATTAACACATCAATGTAAAAGTAACGGAAATAATATAATTACGTCGTAAAAACCCACAAGATGATAAATGCGGTCGAAGTACTTAAATAATTATAATAAGAACAAGACTTAGGAGTTGATACATTTTGGATAACATATAGGTTTACTTAGGACTCTGAAAATCCTGGTTAGTAATGTGTTTATCTCAGAAACTCAAATACGAGATTCTAGTAAGTGCATCAAGTTTACCATATTTTAGCTCAGTATGTTTCGTATATGCTTATAAGGATAATTTGTGCCAACACCCTCCAATTTTGATGGGCAAATATACTATAGGCGACTTAATATTCATTGGCAGTGATGTGTATGCTGCTAGGTTGGAGGATAAAAAAAGTAACTAAGTCACCTTCACCAAAAATCATCAGTCCGAAGTTGGTGAAAGGTGACCTTTGTGATTAACTAAACGACCTCTGGAATCAAGTGCATTCGATAGATACGATAGTCATACAGGTGGCAACCAGTGTTCGACGGCTAAAAAACATATTCAAATAATTACCCTAACTTCGACAGTTTTAGTGAGTGAAAAACGTCTTGTTTAGAAAAGTCGTCGAAATAGTCATTATAAAACAATCACAACACAGAATAGGAAGTGATGAGATATCACTGTAGAGTGACAAACGGCGTAAGTTGGAGAAAGCCAATCAAGTCCATTGTATCCGTACTGGTATTTCGTCGGTCACTGACCCATCAGGTTCTATCCAGCTTCCAAAGTAAGTGAGATAGATGGTCAATGGACTCAACCACTTCACTTCCTATTGTTAAACAAGACACCAGTGGGAACCAGTCCCGGAGCAACAATTTGCATTCGGACGGTGAGAAGCGCATCCCAAACATTCTGAAATAGCCATTCGGAGTGTCCGGAAGATTCTGAATCTTGTCAGGGTATTTGCCTAACAGGACTATGTTATTTGTGTACTTTAGATCTAGCGAGGAGCACGTTTATATCGAAACTAAATAAAAACGGATGTAGTCGGCATTCTTGACAGAGGCCATTTGACGTGCAAGCTGAGCATACATCTCGTCATAGGCTTTCACGTGTGTGCAGGTTTCGAGAATACGGTATTCAACAAAGTGATGTGCCCCCTTGGCATTTCTTTCAGTGAGAGACTGTCGTAAGACTAATTGATCAATGTCGGCTTCAGGTGACGAAATGCGGCTAGTGTTTGGCATAACTGTGACCGTTTTCCGAAACCAGGCGCAGAGTAAGTATCTGCAGATTCACCTAGGATCAGCTCTGATAAATGCTTGATTTTCTCTGGTTCGCTGCTTCTGGGTGCCACTCAGACGTCTGATAATTATAGAACCTAGATTGTCGGTCAATATGTTCGTCGCGCTGAGTTCCTTGTGGTCATCACAAAAGGGCTTCTCTCCTTCCTTGAAATCTGCAGCAGTCAGTGATTATAAATAATCAGAGGGGTCATACCAGACTGATATGTAGCAGATAACATTTCAGTTAACCCGACCAATAAACCTCTACCACAGTCTTTAAATATATCCAATGCTGCTCTTCCTCGATTTTCGAAAGCCGTGCCTCAATGTTGTATTTAAGACCCAACTGGGTAGGGAGCAACAGGATAGTAGTTGAATACCAGGTAAACTGGTTCTCGAAGTGCTCCGCTCATTTTCTCAGTCATATCTGCCTCAATTGAATCACACTTTCATTCTTCTTTGATATGGTGTCACTGACCATTCACTTTTTCGCCAGTATGTTTGATAAGTCCAAACAACTGTCTACTATTACCCATCGCCATAGACATCTCTTTAGCTTTCGCTACCCTCGACTATTCGCGGTCACTGCTGAGACCAGTGGTCAGTCTACATTTTAGTTGCTTCTGCTCCTGATTGAGCTCGAAGCCAGTAGGGAGGGAGCATGCGAGAGCATCCACCAATTCAAAATAAGCTACCGAGATCCACTGGCTTTTCTCAAACAGTTTCTGAGTCAGCAACGGTCTTCAACACTGTTTTCACAGCAGACTGAAGATAGCACTAATTTCCCTGTTTCGATGAGCGATGTTGTTCTATACGGATAACTGTCTTATCAGGTTCTTGCTGAGTGCAGCTTTAGTATTCTCATCGTCAAGCATTCACAATGGTCTTGTTGTTGTAATTTTTCTGTGTCCATATAGGCGCAGACATGCACATGCTCGCACTATTACGTGTTTCAAAAGGAGCGACAGTCTACCGCTAACCTCCCCAACGATGACTGACACCAATATGGTTTTTCTGTATTCACCGCACAGTTGTAGTCAGTGGACGCTACGCCAATCAATATCCCTTTTATGGCTGACCAGAAACAGACGACGACAGTAAGATGGAGCAAAAAATAGTAAAGATAGTAGCCCACTCCGGCAACGAGAATATTTCCTGATTATCAAGAGGCCATCTGTTCTCAATCACGCATCTCATCTCAGTAGGAATATTCAGTCAAGGTGTTTAGTTCTGAGCATAAAAGATGGATTAGTTGAAGAAGTTTCCAGGCTAGGAGGACTGACCTAACTGAAGCACATTCCATGTATGCGAACCTATGGTGTAGAATGGCATGCAAAAGCAGATGAAGTAGGACTAGCTTGGAAGAAAACCAAAGGCAATTAGACTAGAATGTGAATCATGTAGCAAGGTAAAGACTACATTACTGGGATCGGTTGAGATGTCAGAAATAATTAAATAAAAACTCTACATTATATAACACAATCGCAAAACATATCTGTAGCATAATTTTGAGTATCTTATCAGTATATGTTCTGCTTCTTCACTGTTCATATCTTCTTTTTTTTCTATCCTAACTCCCACCTATTTTTCATTCAGAGATCAGAATTAGTGCAAATTCGTGGAAATTCCTACTTCCTGTCAATCTGTATTCAAGATTTAAATGGTTAAATTTTAGTGCTGGTGGTTCAATGGTTCTTTATGAAAGACAAGATTATAATACAGTAAGTTAGTCAGAAAGAGGAACTTTAGTCCACCTTTCTTTAAGAAACTAGTCGGAAATAACTGATTATAAATTCTAATCCACAGAAAATATTATGCTTGTCCAATCTAACTGGGGACTAAAAAGAGGAATAATTTGATGTGTTAGCAACCAGGAAATGTACATCAGATATGATACTGCAACTTAATCCATCAAGAAAACAACTTTGATTGTGAATACTTGAATCAGTCATTTTCAGAAGGCAGCATCACAGAAGTAAGTTGGAACCCAATTGGAGTAACATGGGGACAATACATTACATAGAGAAGCTAGGTTTTCGTAATACTAACAATCATATGGGATCAAGAGTACGCCATAATATACAATAATTCCAGGTTAAAGGTGTCGGTTGGCACCAATGACAGGAATGCGTGTCAATATGTAGAAAACTCACACTCTCAAAATATCATACTTTGAGTGGTTCAAATGACAACCCATCTATTGGGTTCCAAGCAATTAGTGTAGTTAAGATACTTTACAAAATAAGTAGCCATCTTTGGCAGAAGACACAGCAATATGACTTCTAATCACCACTAATTACTCAACTTTTTAAAATGAATGTAACTCACCTGTTGTGAACTAACTGATGAGTGAGAACTGGAGACATTAGCTGTGTGAGCATGATACATTATGTCGACTATACAATAAAGAACAAAATTTTCGATGGGCGATCCCCAGACTATTACTTCGTTTGACTACCACCAGTTATCAAACATTGTAGAAGGTTAACAAGAATTTGCAGGCAGTCTCAGTAATTTTACGCCCAAAAAGCAGCTAGGGATTCGTCGCCGCTTAATGTATGGACGAGTGTACTAGCTGATTGATTACATACTATGGATTCCATAATCATAGGCGATATAAACTGAAAAATGCTAGTCAGTCAGTAAGTACTGGAATCTGGATTACTTTTAGTGGAGATTCGCATCATACAAAAACATAAACCCATTTAAACAAAAACCATTACGGATTTTATTTAGCTCATACTCCAGAGACAAACGCTGACACTGAGGCAGCACTATATGACTATCCTTGAAAGAGATTCAAAGAATACCTAACTACATATCTTGAACATTTGCGTTGTTTATTTTATTCTGATCACTCCCGCTGCAGAATGTACACCTTGAAAAGAGATCGATCCAATAAGTTTTCTTTCCGATATCATAGTGGTAGTTTAAAATTTGTATAAAAATTAAACTGAGAAAAAGCAATTTCAACATTTCTAATAGTTCAGTATGTAACCATTTACTGCTTCCCTGTGTGCAAATTGACTATTATCCAAAATGAGGACGGATGGTACGAGCTTATGTGAAAACTAAGGATTTATGGGTTGTAAAAACAACTATACAAAACGACGACTGCTTTCTGATTACATTTCCATGGAGAGATTATGTGAGTTAACTACGAGGTATTAACACATATATATCGTATAATGAATACGAAATTCCAAAGAAAAATCAGTTTATGAAAATCAAACTGTAACAGATAAATTAATATTGATATACCACCTTTTGTTCCTGTTCTGTAGTTAGCAAATTCTTCGATTCCAACAACTGTTTATTTTTGACGGCCAAATCTTGCTCTAATGTAGACAACCTAGATTGTAACTGATTTACTATTTCACTTTGATCACTATTAGTTCGATGTGCTGTGTCCAACTGAGCACGCAAGCCTACAGTGAAATATCAGATTAAATAAATAATAGATTACACAATACATATGCAAATATATAGTGTGAGCAGAAATTTATTCTCTGATAACTTTTCCATAAAACAAAATTGGGAAGAAACGACGACTAACTGTATAACTTACAACGAAATTTATTTTCAATAAGATCCTTACATGTGAACTATTACGAGCACTACTCAATATCTCTTCAAACACGAAGGATTATGGATGGTCACAGATATCGCTGACAGTGACGTTAAACAGTATAATGACGGTTAAGCCGATCAGTTTTTATTAACTAGTAAGTAACCACCAAAATCGCTGTGCGATAACACAGATTTCCAGCACAGAAATACTAAAGATTACACAATATACAGTTACCAAGAACCAAATATGTGACTAACAATTGTCAACAGGTAAACAGTAAATAGTAGAGAATATTTGTAGTTCAGAATGCAAGCATTCAGAGGGTGTTGTTTTCTAGGGTAGGATTTTATTTCACAAACCTTTGAATACCATGCTAGGCATCCCCATCAATCTATCAAAGCTTGGTAACCGACCTAGTTAAATCCAAGCGAAGTAGTATGTTATATCTATTCATGCACAACCGTTTACTTCACTTCCTTATGAAGGTCTGATGTACTGATGATATCTAGCATGATTTCGAAAAGTTCAACTAAAACTGGTTTACAGAACGAGTAAATTCTATACATAATACTGTTATTATTAGAACGCAAACATAGTACAACAAGGGTACCAAGAAATGCGCCACATAAAATAATATAACAACATTATGAAGACATAAAGCAAAGGGAAGTGGACAGAAATAAAACAATAAGAATAGAATTATTAGGAGGGCAGCTCAGTAAAGTACATTCAAAACAAACCATTCGTTACTTCTCGGCAGCAGAAGATAGAAGAAAGCTATAGTAAAACAGCCACCGGTTTTGATTCTGTGTCATATCTGATAATGTCTCAAGCCACTGAGTTGGGTGATTTCTCGGACCCCACCCAGGGAGTCATGATGCACTAACAGGTGCTAGCCTGATAATACTACCCTTCATTCCACGTCATGCATTGACTACTCCTCTGCTTGTTCCACCAACCCCCAGGGCTAGCAAACAATAAACGGCATGGAAGCCGTCGGGACAACATGCGTAACACATGTCTAGGCCCACCGAAGCCAATGTTTCTAGATGACTCCACTGATTGAATGACGGTCTACATCATGCCCAAACACACCCCGGATACGAGCAATCATACGGAGACAACGGTGATCAGATACATAGTCATCGCACATCTTCAGCTTAGAGCCCAGGTTTGACAGGCGTAGAGCGAAACTGCTCACACTGAATCGTTGTAAACCCGACCTTTTGTGGTCAGACTAACTTCGTGATGGCACCAAAGGTAGCCCAGATTGGAGTACGCCACTCTGGCTTTCGACATGCGGTTGGAAATTTCATCACTTACATCTCCTCCACTAGCACTCACACAACTACACAGATTCACGAACTTTTCGACTACTAACGGCTCACTACCAAGGGTGAGCCCAGGCACAGATTCCTATCAATCTCTAAAAGTAATTTGCACTTCAATGGTGCAAAGCATGTATCATATACACTAATCGCCAACTGATTAGGTGCGACATAAGCAGCCTGTGTGTTATCGCACAGTAAGACGATATCGTTCGGATATTCAAGGTCGAATAGCCGTTTTCCGGGTAGTAGGTCTGCACCACCATCATGTATCTCCTTCAGAGCTGTCTCAAGAATGTCATCGATGGCATAGTTAAAGAGGAATGGAGAAATCAGGAAACCCTGCCTAACCCCACTACTGGTTTGGAACAATGGAGACAAGTTGTTGTATGCCCTCACTACCTATTATACAGGGCTTTCAGGATGTTAATAAATCTCTCAGGTACACCCCTCCGCAACAGACAGTTCCAAAGTACAGCTCTGTCCAAGGAATCGAGGGCAGTCCTAATGTCAACAAACAACAATTGTTGACCTTCAATACGCAAAGCGATGTTTAAGCCTCTGGAGGGGGGTAAACGCATGGTCCATGCAACCACGGCCTAAACCCCTCGCGAGTCATTTCCTCACGCGTTTTGCACAGTCTGCGAAGTATGATAGCCAATATTTTCGACGCGATTGGGAACAAAATGATACCCGATGATTGTCACATACATTACGCAGACCTGTTTTTAAGATGGGCACACAATAGCTTCATTCCAGAGCGATGGAACACTCAGTCTACCATACCTTTTCAAATAGTCAGTTCCCTGACTAGAGTCGTTCCTCCATCTTTAAAAACAGTCGACGGTAAGTTGTCTGGGCCAGATACCTTGTGGCGTTTCCTTATGGATCTTCGTTTCCTTAGATGGATCAGTGTTAAATACGGAGCGCGATACACCGAAGCTGACAATGCTAGAGCCGTGGGCCAGCTAAACCGCTTTTCGAAGTGTCCCACCCAGAGTTCCAGGTGTCTCTGAAAATTGTTTATCAGTGTACCACCTACCTCAGACCGTCTCACCGACACCTGGCTTCTTGCTGCCAGTTGCTCGGATGAGCTTAAACTGTTAGGGATGGCTAATCCCTAAGAAAAATAATCTATACAATGTTTATTTTATCATTGTGAAGTTTAAGCCTCCTTTTTGTGCCATGCTATGTTGCTTATTCTTACCGCAGTTTAGGACACTAAACGCTGATTGTTCCATTTCACACTTTGAATATGCTAATTTGTTTTCTCTGTCCAAGGCCGTCTAAGGGTATATAAACGACTGAGTTCTCACCTATTATCATTCGGTTGAAGTAAATAAACTTTCGATCCCATCGTCTTCTTCTGGTGTTAGCTGAATATCGAGTTGAGAAGTCATTGTTCTATCATTAATCGTATCATCTCGGAGCATTGTATCGTTACCTATAGCGTGGATCGTAACATAAACAGCTTCTGACTACTGCGCAGTCCGCTCTGTTTTACTATATGGCTGTGAAACATGGCCATTGAAAGTGGAGGATACAAAAAGGCTTCAGGTGTTTGACCACCGTTGCCTTCGTAGTATAGGACGTATTCCGTGGTGTCACCATGTGAGTAGTGCAGAAGTTAGGTGTAGAGTTTTGGGGAGAAGAGGTAAGTCAGTTGACGAGGTTGTGAACCTTCATCGACTGAGATGGTTGGGATACGTACTACGTATGCCTAGTCACCGATCGCCTCGTCACACAATGTTGGCTGAGGTGGGTCCAGGCTAGAAAAAGGCCCGAGGTGGCCAGACTAAAACATGGTACCAATGTATGAAGTCTCTGACTGTTGGTTCAAGCCATGTAGGACGATGCAGACTAGGTGATTGGGGTCCACGGGACAAGAGGAACCAGTGGTTGGAGACCCTAGGTGATATGGCTCAGAACCGAAGTCAGTGGCGCAGATGTATACACACATTATCCTCGTCTTAACAACGCTATACCGAATCTCACTATTTTGTCACTCCTCTTTCCTTTCTTCTCGTACTTTATATTTCTTTTGACTGCATTCACTTATCTTCATCCTTCACCTCACTACCTTTTTACTTGATGTGCTGATATGAGGTGTGGCAACTCGGACCGTTACGCAGTAATGCCTGGTCCTATGTTGATAATGATGATGATGATCTGACTACTGCCAAATGCAGCTTCTGGCTCCATCTCACTAGCGCGTTCTGACCACCAAGCCTCACAGTCCTTGCGTAAGCATCGTGCAATCTTTCGTGTTACAGACTTACGTGGACCATTGTGCTCACTTTCCGCCGGAATGATCTGACTGGCAGTAAGAAGTTGCGCGGAGCTCTCAGAGACCCAGTGTTTATTAGCGGGACGTTCTTCCAAGCTGCAAACGGCTTTATTCGCCATTGTCATAGTGTCTTGCAAGTGCAGCCAATGTTCATCTACACTTTCTGGAGGACCGGTAGCTAGCCTTAAATCTAGCTCTGATTGGTATTTAGTCGCAACGTTAGCTGCAACTGATTTGCTTGCATCAACCTGTTTAGGACGACGATTTTTATGACCACAAAAACGCAAGACAAGCTTATCACACTTAAACATGATCGTAGTTCAGGCTAATGCTCCACATGGAAAGATAGTCCTCAAGCAGACGTCCTGTCTATTCTGCCATCACACAAATCTTCCTCTTTCAAGTACCTTAAGATGATGTCAGTGGGTAGCAGAGCATTTGGAGGCAGCTGAAGTACTCCTGAGTAGTCGATGTGGTCGAACGAAAACATGGCATCAGTTTGTGAAATCTGATTGCTGATCTGAGCAGTGGAGGGAGGTGTCCAATGCTTGATTGGGGTCCTCGAGATAATTGGAATCAGTGTTGAAATCAGGAATATATGTATAGTGACATTTAACTTGTCATCTCATAAACAAAATAAAAATACTGCGCCTCATTAGTATAAAACAGTGTATGTTTATTCATGATCTAGTCCAGTAGAAGTGGTAAGTTGAAATTAAGTGAAATTGCATCGAAAATAGATAGCTGGGAATCGAATAATACTTTTTCCGATAATTTAAGATAATACTGACCTCAATAACTCACTGAAGAAGGCTCCGATGTCGACATTCAATAACAGACTCTATTTACTGATATAATACCAGTTTATGTTTGCGAATAAGTCATGGTCTTAAGTGGCGACTGAAATGAGACTTATGTTTACGGTTTTCTGCCGAATGATTTCGAACATCTCACAGTGAGTCACTCAGCATCATTATGAGATATGGCATTACTGTGTGACGGTTCGAATTACCACAACACATCAGTACATTAAGCGAGAATGCTCTACGATAAAGGACAAAGAAATAAGAAAGCGTCAAAAGATACCGTGATATCCAACTGCCTAGCAAAGACCGAGTGTTCTTTCTATTTTTCCATATGGTTGTGAAAAATAGCCATTAAAAGTAGAGGACATGCAAGGCATGTGTTTGACCACAGTTGCTTTCAGAGCATGGGTCATTTTTCGTGGTGTCATGAAGTCGGGTTTGAAGTTTTAGGGAGTAAACGAAATTCAGTCGATGAGCTTCTGAATCTTCATCACCTCAGATGGTTGGTACATATGTAACACATACTTAGTCACCGTCTGCCCCGATGCGCAATGTTAGCCTAAGTAGGTTCAAGCTGAAAAAGGGTTACAGGCGTCAGGTCCTGAAGTCTTTCACTGTTAGCTTGAGGAGTGTAGCGAAATTTACATTACCCAGTTAGGGGCCGCGTGACAACAGAAACCAGTGGTTTGATATCACTGAGAATCGATCTCAGTATCGCCAAGGTATTCATACACCTTCCCTCTTATTCGTGAAACTGAATTTCAGTATTTTCTCATTCTTGCCTCCCCACCTTTTATTGCTTTCTTCCTTAACTTTTTTTCCCCTTTTATCTTAGGCCTTTATTGCTCGATGTGCTGAAATAAGATAACTAATGCAGAAATGTCAGGTTCATCGTAGAACCGCGCACATAGGTTCTCTCTATCCGGAGTTGAAACAACCAAAAAAGGCTGTGTGACAGGCCCTATGAGCTCTGCCGTCACACAAATCTTCTTCCTTCAAGTACCTTAGGAAGAAATAGCCTACCACGGTGGGGGAAGCCAAGAAGTGTCAACTGCCTCCACGCTTCCAGTAGTACACACAAGACCCAATCATACATAACTTATCCTCCTCAACTCTGTCTCCTTCTTTGCCTTCGTCTCCTGATACTAGTATTAAACCTCTTACGCCTTACCCAACCTCTCATTCTACAACCACTGTCAACGATCAAAGCCATCGAAACCTTATTCCTCTTCTCCTAAGACCCCACAAGTGATTTTGTGTAGGAGTTTTCAACGTCCCAACTCTATGACAAATCGGACAACGAACATCGCTCGCCAGAACTCTGGAATCTCTAGCCATGACCTCACCTGGCCATAGGAGTGAATCTTCAAAACTAACTTGTTTCTGGTCAACACCAACTTTAAGCATAAGGAGAGACACTGTCTCACATGACGTCCGCTGACACCAAACCAACGATGGATAGTGATAGATCACATTGCTATAAACCATCGTTGAAGAGGATCAGTTGAGGATTGTCGCTGATCCTGGAGAACCAGTGTAACCTCCGACTACACGCTAGCACGAGTTCCTGTATGTCTACATCTTACTGATCGCAGCAAAAAGGCGGCAGTGAAGCCTGTCTATGGTCGGTTCGAAGATGAAAATGTCAAGTCTGCATTTAGAGAAGAGGTAGCCAAGCATTTCGCTGAACATGACACCAATGCTCATTCCAAGAAAACCTGGCATGATATGGAGTCTGCTGTAGAAACAGCGGTAAGGACAATTAGTAACCTACATCTGAACGTTAACAAACGTCAAAGGATATCTGAGACATCATCCGAACTGATTGATACGAGAAGACTGGTTCCAGCTGGCTCCGACCATGACGAAGAGTGGAAGCAACTTAAACGTAAGTTGACCAAGAGTCTTCACGTCGATCGCGAGGAGTGGTGGATGGCGAAAGCAAGAGATCGAGAAGGCATCTACGGAAGGCAATACTTGGCAATTATTAGGGCCTATTACAGATATCGGCTAGGAAAAAACGATGACGACTGAAACCATCAGCGAAAGAGGTGGAACGCTGATAACCTCCAAGGATAGGTGGCTAAAACATTTGACAGAACAGAACACATCGCAGCACAGCCCAACCGGCCCTTAGAAACGCTTCAGTTGCCCAACAGCCAGCCTGAACCTGAATAGGACATAAATGTCGGTCCTCCAACTCTCCTTGAAATTGAGAAGGCCGTATCGAACCTGAAACGGTGTAAAGCAGCAGCACCTGACAGTTCACCATCAAACGTTTTCAAGGATGCAGGTAAGAAATTGCTGTTTAAAGTGGCGGAGATACTAGTTAGTGTACGTGAATCAGATTTAGTCCCGTCAATCTGGTTTATTTCTCTGATCATCCCAGTCTATGAGAAGCGGAAGAAATCTTCTTGTGATAACCATAGGGGAATTAGCTTGACTGGGACTATGTCCAAGATCCTACGGTCTATAGTTATCCGACGCCTAACTGGAACTCGAGAACACAAAACTCGAGATAATCAGGGAGGTTTCAGATCTGGTCAAAGGTGCATCGATCACAGCTTGGTTGCGAATCTGTCACATCCATTGTTATTATTATTTGTCCCTCGGAATCCTAGTGAGGCATAGGGCTTCGGTAGCAGTGGCAGTAAGGTGTATGGTAAGGAAGTTATTATTAGGGTAGAGGTTTGCCAAGTAGCATTGCAATGGTTTTCATTCTGAAAATACGCATAGCTGAAAACTCACAGGACTCGAAATAACCATTATGGCGCTGACATAATTTACTTAACATGTTATGGTTAGATTGTATCTCGCAGCTATGAAGAACTGCGATTTCATCATGTACCAAATAATCTCTAGGAACCAGGTTGCATGATTAATACATTAAAAAAAAGTTTTAGAATAGATTACGGAAAAGGTAGCAAAAGGTAGCTACTCAAAATGTAGTTTCAAGCTCATTTTAAGGAATATTTTCAAATTTTGATATGAGAAAGGCAAATCTAATATATAAGTGAGTGGAGGATCAATGCAAAACAACACTTTGTTAGCACTGTCACATTTCACAGAAATTTTATCACATTATATACATGAAGCATACCTTTAACCTCTTCATTTAGAGAAATATTCTCAGTTTCTGATAATTTTAGCTTGTCTTGTAATTGTTCCACACGTATCTGGAGGGTGGATTGGTTATCACGCAAATTCTATTTAAAAAACGGTAAGAACAATACAATCATTTTTTCGTGAAAATGAACATTAATATATTTATCCACACAGACCCAGACGTATCGATCATAGTAGTCCAAACGGCGTTAAAGTTGAATAAATGATTGCCAATAAAAAGGAGGGTAAAAGTAATCATGCCAAGTCCTATCAGGTTTATGCGCATCTACTGGTGAGACTTTAAACTAGAATGAGCTCAACAAAACGAGCGATTTGCTCGGCTTTTATTTAATTTCGCGGTAGTTAAACACTGATTCAGGCATCTCAACTCTTTGGAAAAAGTAAAAAATGCTGCTATCTGACATTTTAATCTATATGCTCCATGTCAAGTAGTTTTTTTTGCGGTGACATATCTGCTCTACAATCAAACTTTCAGATCTTTTTCAAAAGTGATCTTGATGGTAAATTCGAAAAAAAGGAATTCGTGGCAGCCTGTCTGACTATCACTAATGCATTGGAACGATGAAAGGCAGGGTTATATGATTTCATAGTACTTACAGTCAATTTGTATGGTATTCTAAATGTTGATGAACTTTTCAAGAACACTTAGGTCTGGTAGACTATTCCAAACCAGTCCTACTTAAGCAGTAAGAGGAGACCCTGACGTCACGAAATACAAAAAAATGTTTGCCCTTGAGCATGTTACTTTTAGTCATATAATGTTGGAGTGAAACTGTACAACTAAGGAAAAGACAGAAGTCTTAGCTGGCAACAGCCGAAAGCTGTTTTAGCTTATACAACACATAATCACCATAGCTGATATCAACGCTGGAAGGAAAAATTAGGTATACAATGCCCAAAGGATAAAGTTGTAGTGATTCTGATGCCAACGCTTTGTGCTGTGTTTTGAGTCTACTGATTCATTTCGGCTTCCCAAAACTCGGTAGATGTGGATCTGAAAACGACAAAACACTGGAGAACTACAGCTTAAACAACAAACTCTGCCCTACAAAACAGTCTTCACTTGAAATACAATATGGAAGTATTACACTGGAACTTTACACGTGATCCATGCACAAAGATACGAGCACATATATTGGACGAACTCTCGAAGAAATTACTTGTTTGTGTCATACAGCAAGGTCTGCCTTTCACTACTTAAACCAGGACCTCGGTAGAATATAGGCATTGAGACATGCGCCATACGTAAAAATATGTCACCATTAACAAAACAAGGACATAGAAATGAGGAACGAAAGGAAAAAAAAAAATAAAAAAAGGGTTTTCTCACAAAAGCATTTACAACTTTCATTTAGCAGCATAAGGAGAGTCAAGAGAGCTGCGGCATATGGACCACCTATTTTGATTCTTAACCAAGCACAATATTATAGTAAGTCACTTGTTTGCATGGTCTCTCATACCCCATTCAGACAGCCAAGAGGTACCAAAACGTGCTAACCCAGAGGAGCGTAACACACTGGCTTGGAGCTGGCTGGCTCAAAACGCCAGACTTCACAGCAGTACGCCTAGAAAAAAAGGTATCAAAGTAGGTGTATTCGAGAGGAAAGAATCTGGAAATGAAGATTGGTGAAAGTGTCCAAACATTGTAAGACGCAAAAGAGTGAATCTGAGCTAGATGTGAAAGCAAAAGTAATCATAGGGACATGGAATGTCCGCAAGATGTTTGAAGCTGGCAAGACTGCCCAGATTGCAAAAGAAATTAGTGGATATGGCACAGAATTGCTAGGAATCTGCGAAAGCAGATGAGATGAAAGTGGACTCGCCCAACCGTCAACTGGAGAGTCAATAATCTACTCCAGTATTGTCACCCAGACGACAACCACGAGCACACTGAGTTTTGGAGTGGCTATCATAATGTCCCCAATAGCATCGAAGGTTCTCATGTAGTGGGAACCATTCTCCTCCAGGATCATGACAGCAAGATTCAAATCAAAAGGAAGGAAGGTAACAATCATATAATGCTACGCTACGCATCTACAAAAAATAATGCAAACCAAGAAAAGGAGGAACTGCAATCAGTAATAGACAAGACCCTATCTTAGATAACACAGGAAGACAAAGCACC